TGCGGCGGTATTGCTCAATTGGTCGAGAATATTTTCTCTGGGACAACATTGTCCAACAATTGTTTCGTTTACAGACAGATTTGGCGAGAAGCGTCAGGATTCGTAAAAGTGACATTTGTTTAATGTCGTATAGTCAATGGCAGAGCCATACTAGAGTCGCAATACTTTTCAATTTGATGAGTCTCAAAGGAGGTGAAAGTCGCGCAATTGTCCTCGTGTGTGATTTTGGTCTGTTTCAAAACACGTCCAACCAAATTGTGTTGCAACTTTTTTACCAGCAATTACATGCAAAATTCGTCCTGCGTAAAAGTGCCCTCTATACTACACTATATCTATGTGTATTATTTGTAAGCATTCATGCATGCTTATCTAAAGGAAGTAATATTCGCTACATAGACATTTGCATACGTCAATGCAATTTCCGTTTGCTGAACAGAAAGTTTGATCACCAGAATTGAATGCGTTGCCTTTTTTTCAATCATGGTCTTGGAAATTATTTCGTTTTTAAATTAGAGACATTGTTGCAGCGATTTCTTTTTTACAGAATTTTTTTTTTTATGGAAACAAGATGGACTTGTTACGACTCAATTTCTCAAAACGCTGCACACTGTAGCTCGATTCGAACGCGATATAGAAATTGTTATTAGACATGTGTCAATTGTACGATTTTACGGCGCGATAAAACGCCTCATGTCGGTTTACCAACGGCAAATATTATTATTTTCCTCATAATGAATATTGTGCCAATCATCAATCAGTAACCGCTGTAGCATTTAAAATATACTTTCTTGTGCAATGCACAATCGCGCTCTTCATTGTGTTGTGTCGCGGTAAAAGGATTCTTCGTACCGATTTCACTAAGGATATTGCGCGATGACTAACTTTCAGAGATTGATTTATTCGTTCAAAGAGAAGCGCCGTCCAATTTACACGCGATCAAAGAACAATGAACTTTGTAACTAACAAGGCGCATTGATTTTTAGCGAAATGAATCTCTAGATATCATATAATGCGTGATATGACTTTGTTAATTTTTCATTACACAAGTAGGTTCAAATGGTGATACCGTTACGTCAAACTAAAATGATCCACCGCAACTTACTTTCTTTCATAAAAATTCCCTATACATAATATTCATGCCAGGCACAAATTGAACAAACGATTCTTTCCTTACACACAACATTAGCTCGACAATAGTTATTAGTGAGCAATAAAGGACATTTTCGTTGCGCTCCGAGTGATAGGTGAAATTGACGAAACGTCAACGTCGAAAGTCAAAATGGCGATGTCGAGAAATGTAGCATGCTAACGAGCTGGAAGACTCACTCGATTGTCGTACGCAGCGCGCGAGTCAGAAAATTGCACTGCAATCTTCTGCGCATCGTCAGACCAAGCAATATACTTTTTTTGCCATTGCGCGTTTTGTCATGCGAATATCTTGCGCATTTAGTGTGCGATAAACTATTCATCCTCGGCAAAGTACTTAACAAGTAACACCGAGTAATAGCCGAGATAGATATTTTTAATCCCGCGATGGCCACTTTGCTTTTTATAACTATTTTCCACTTTGAACGCAAGAGCAACCTTTATATAGAACGTCGTTGCCTCTAATCAAATTCCATCTTGGCCACTAATGACGGCCCGAAATTCATTGTCTCACGCTTGAAAATAACACGCATATCTTACACAGTGACAGTTCTTCGATGGAAAGTACTGGGAAGTCGCAGAATCGACGCTGCCTGTGTTTAAGGTGTACACTGAGATTTGAAGCAACTACCGATTTTCGAGGTTAGGCGGGTGGCATGCCTACGTCATTAGTTCGTAGCATAATCAATAGACATAATTATGAAACTATGCGCCATTAATAGTCTCGGGTCGCGCGGGTCGTAATCTCGTGGTGAAGGACGGTGCGGCACTAGTTCGCGCGTTATTAAGCGGGTGTATTTTATAGGAAACCGGTAGTTGGGCAATAACGAGCGAGGCTTGCCAACGTTTGATTATGGTTCCTTAACATTATTACACGCTAAAAGGGAGTAACTGATAAAATATGCCGCATTGCGTCTCGTGAGCAATACCAGGCCACTTTGTGAAATTCTTCAGACTTGTGTCTATCATCTCTCATTATTTATTGGCACAACAGTAGCAAGTGAGAAAATTACGATAAGATAACTGAAGAAGAAGACCGTGCACGGGCATTTATTTTTTCCTAAAATATATTGCGATCTAACGTTACGCGTTTTTGTGCAAGGCGAATTTCATATAAGAAACACATTGAGCTGATGTCGGGAAATGTTTCGAATTGTGATAACTAGTGAATTTCGTGGAGAGAGAGAGAGAGAGAGAGAGAGAGAGAGAGAGAGAGAGAGAGAGAGAGAGGAGGGGGAAGAGAAGTGTTCGATAAAATATCGAACTCGTCGAGGGGACTCGTCGTTCATTCACATCTGTCTGATTATTCCCCTTTTCGTGCCGCGGTCGACTTCCTCTAATCAAAGGATGCGATGAACGTCTGCATTTCCTGCGTCCAGTCATTAACATTGGTACGTGGGGCTTTATCGTTTATCAGCGAGCGACAACCCCCTTCTATGTCGGCCACTTTGCCACAAGTCGGCCGCGCCATCCCCAAATCGCTAAACTATCCTCCAAACACCAAGTACCGCACTAGGGAAACTTCGATGTTAGCCACCCTCACACCTTTGCCGTTCGACCCTAGAATCGGCCAAGTGGCCGAGAATCTGACCAACGAGCAATTACGGACGAGGTGCCGAAAGATTTTGCGGCATGGAAGATTTACCACCAACGGACAGGCCGAAATTATTTACGGACCTAACTGATGAGCACTTCTATTTTCGAGTTGCCCAAGACTCGTTGTCCGATAGTGACGTTTGACAAAACGCTTCAAACGTACGAATTATCTTAATGAGCAAGCGACTTATAAATCATAACGCGCGGTGTAGCGACAGCCGTACGTTCGTCACAACCACAGACACGCTAAATCTTTTTTAATCTCTTCTCACTTTGCCCTCGCGGATCGTTTTGATTCTTTTCCTTTTTTCTTTTTTTTTTTTCACTAATAATAGTCAACGATACAAATAGTTTCAACGATGAGTCTCACCGCAGAAACGACCGGTCCGCTCGTAATAGATATCAGTGGCTCGCGTTATTCATCAATATTGTCAAGGGGAGTATATACGGTGAATCGCATTATTTAATTTTTTCATATTAAAACTCTCCTCGCTGCATATCGATTCAACGTTTATCGAAACACACGACTTTGCGCTCGCGCGCGATATACGCTCTTAAAGCGCGAGTTATAATTAAACTGCTCCGGTGCTCGCCTGTCAATTAAATCCGTATGCTTTCTCTAAGGATCACACTGTCAGTGATGTGACAGGTGATACGCTTTTATTTATCGGCGAGCAAATTTCGCGAAAATTTTACGTAGAATCGCGACAGTTTCTGGGATATAGTCCGCTATATACGGTGATCAATAATAATGAATATACACGATATTGAGACAGGTGCGAGAAACGGAAGATCATAAATATTAATAATTTCGGAGACGTTTGGTTGCGTTTCTCTCTCCCTAAATTTGTCGGAATGAATGAAGTATTAATATGTCCCGCTCCGGTGCTCTAAATGTATATTAAAATGTAGTTTTCAAGTTTATCTCACTCTTCCTCTTTCTCCCTCTCTCCCTCCCTCCCTCTCTCTCTCTCTCTCTCTCTCTCTCTCTCTCTCTCTCTCTCTCTCTCTCTCCATTTCGACCAGCAACATATTCTCGCTTATGCATCGAAATATTATTCTTCCGATGACCCGCGACCCGCGAAACAATCTTTCACTTCTTTTCACAGCATATCCTTTCGCTGTCGATGAGAATATCCGCGCAAATTTTAGATGTGTCAAATAAAGTGCAGAATTTACGGACTTTTTGCGCCAGGCAGCGTGTTTAATTGAAGTAATATTATAATGGTCGGTCATATATAAGTTAGTCGCAGCCAGTCATTTCCGATAGACGTCGAGAGAGAGAGAGAGAGAGAGAGAGAGAGAGAGAGAGAGAGAGAGAGAGAGAGAGAGAGAGAGAGTTATCGTTCTCAGAAAGAAATATGAGAAACTATTGAATATATCATTGAAAGCTCGTTTCTTTTTCATATGATACTCTCAACGTAATCGCGACAAGTCCATAGACGTGTTCGCAATTTTGTGCGTGCAATTACTCTGATCAAAATCTCAAGGATCTCGGCGATTAGTAGCTGTAGCATATTGCAGTCCACATTCATAGCGCGATATCTCAGTGCGCATTTAAAGAGAAAGGCCCTTCGACTTTAAAAGGCGTGTATTTTCCTTCGAAATTACGTGTTTCGTCCGGTGCTCATCGCGTAAACACTGGCAGCGTATCGAGTGACTGGGTTACCCGCATCGAGTAGATTTTCTGATTTAAACGTTTCGACTAGCAGCGAACGCGTAACACGGTCGAACCCTCCGGCAACCCTCCGGGATTATCTCACCCCACGCCAATGCCGAGCGGCCCACTTCCGGATATATCCGCAGAGCGGACGCACACTCACGAAGCTTCCTCGATACCAAATACATCAAATCGGTACAATCGTGATCACTTTGCTCTCGCGTGATCTCAAACTACTCGTTACTAGGCCTATCCGCACTAGTCCTCGTCGTCGAAGCAAATCGCGCACGCGGTCGCAACGCTCGCGATCACTCTCCTCTCTGTGTCGTGTAACGCTGTCAGAAAGAGCGACTTTCCCACCCTCTCCCCTGGCCTCGATTATGCCCGCACTGACCCGGCAACACCAAACTCTCATCGGAGAAGTTCACTCGATCGGCGAAGGCCGTAATACCACTTTAGTCTTGCATGAGGCCCGGTGCGAGAAGGATTACCCTATTCGCCTCCCTCCCTCCCGCCCGCCCACCCCTATCCGCACTAATCAACAGCACCAAACTCCCCTCGGGGTAGTTACCGAACGTAGACAGTGTCGTACACTTACCTGTTGCCAGAACTGGGCGAGCAGGTATATGCGCTCCTTCTTGAAGAGCCAGTCCATGGACTGCATGGCCTGTATATCCAGCGAGTTGGCCTCCGCGGAGGCCTGCATGCTGGCCAATGCCGCTGAGTTCAGACCCGCTAGGATGGGCTGCTGGAGCGCCGCTGTCACGACAGAGGTGTTACTACCGGCTACCAGATTGGCGTGGTATAAGGTCGCGGCCGGCGCATCCTCCGAACCACCAGTAGCCAGTAGTTGGGCCCCGATCGGCGCTGAAGGCCCTTGGAGCCCCAGTGACGAAGCCACTTTGACGGCTTCGAGCTTCTCCGGCGGGCCCAAAACTGCTCTTCCTCGTTTGGCGCCTCCGCCGCCGCCTCCTCCTCCGCCTCCGTTGCCGATCGCAATCGGGGAACACGTTTCAGGCGGCGGTTCCGTCGGTACCGTCTTTCACTGGCAGTCCACGACGTAGCGCGAAGTGCGGCACGCGTCCACTCGACAGCTTGCACTTTCGTGTTATTGCCTCGCGATCAGCATTGCCGGGCTGACACTCTATCGTGGCATCGCGCACACTTGACTTTCATGAATTTCCCTCTCGAAGGCTTTCTCCGGCTGTGCTCGGTACACTCTCCCCGCGCGTCTCATATAATTGTCACTCACACAGTGCGCGTTCTATCTATCAGTTTGATCTACGTGGAATTTCTTTCGGTCAGTTTCTCCCTCGTCGATCTGTGGTCCGGGCCGGTCATTCGGGTCGGGGCGCAGTGACACCCTGTCATCGACGTCGAGCCCGTTGAACAACGTTGAATCGGACACAACGACACAGCTGGAAATCCTGACTGAGATCAGTCGACAATCTCACTTGTGTCGAAACCGTGCGCGGTACCGCGACATCATTAACACTGTACTGAGCGTCTCGATCTTGTCTCGCGATCGACGGATCGTGATGTCGCGTGGTGATCCGTTAGGTAGCCCCGGAGCTCCTGGCCCGGACCATCCGCGGACTCGTGACGGATCCAAAGTCTCTCACGGACAGTCCGCTGACATTAACCTCGACCTCCTCGTCGTCGTCCTCGTCGTCGTCCACGTAGCGATAGCGCGAGCAGATCTCCCGCTGCCGCATCACACGAATGGAGCAATGTTCCTCACTTGCGCCAACGAGGACCCAGTCCGCGACACTCGCTCACTTTGGATGCACAATCGACTACACAAAAAAACAATCACGCCGATACAAACACGGAGTCCCCTTCGGTGGCGCGAGGGTGATCACTTGGAGATTCAGAACACTTTGGTGACACTCGGAGTAACACTTGATCGATGCGACTCGCGATCCCGAGATCTATTCTCTTTTGTAATCCGCTCTCGGTAGAGTCTCTCGGGCCTCATCGATGTTGGCCTGATACAGCGAGTCTGATGTCTCACGTCCAATTTTTTCTGCGGATGAGCAGAGCGCGCTGAGAGGCCGCTGCTGTGCGTTTTTCAGTGTCCTCCCCTATTTTCCCTTTTCCTCCTTCCTCGTGGTTCCACTGGTGCACCCGGTTTGCGAACCCTCTCGTCCGCTCTTGTCCGAATGACCTCAAGAAGAGAGAACGAGACCCGTCCTAGCAGGCTCCTAACCTGAAACTAAGAGCTACCGGACGACCGATGCAATGCCTGGAGGAGGCGCAGAGCTATTGGTGGGGAATAGGCGGATACTGCGACACGCAGTGGGGGTAGGCCAGCCCCCAATGCGACCAATCCTGCGCTCTGAGAGTACCCCCACTGTGCTCGCTTACCGTCTGATCTCGGAAAGGACACCACGGGAGTAGGGATAAGCCGTGAGAAGGAGCGGGAGGCCGCGGAAAGAAGCGGAGGCTGGCTAGGTGGTCCCTACCAGAGCGGATCTCATATTTTCAACTCCCCGACCGCCCTTTTCCAACCCCTGCCGATCGCTAGTTCCCTTCTTCATTCCTTCCTCTTTTTCTTCTCATTCCCCATCCTTTCCATCCGATCTATTCCCCTCTCGCTCCGTCTATCGGTTTGTTTCATTTTTTCGACTTTGCTCTTTTTATCCCTTCCCCCCCGTCTATTGCCACCCCTCTCTTTCTCTTTCTGCCCTTAGGTTCTTAAGCCCGCCAAAACCCCCCCCCCCGTCTTGATGATATAAGTAAACATGCTTTCTTCGACAAATATTCAAGTTGGAAGTTTGCAACAATTCTCTAAATGATAATCGATGCTTTATCGATGACTCGATGGAGCAAAGTTAAAAATTTTTTACATCTGCAAAAATTTACGCACACTATTCGAGCGCAAGTTGAATTACTCGATGAACATGATTAACCATTGTACAAATCTGATAGATATGAGCATTTCTTAAATTCTTTTTCAAATACAGAATTTGATTTTCGAAGAGTCGTAATTGAAGAAGAGTACTAGACGAGACGTGAAGGAAACGTGAAAAGTTGTTTGAAACATTGCGGAAATAATACGATTAAATAATATTTTGTAAATGACAGTTATCCATTAGACATTTTTATTACGTGTAATAGGAAACATTTTCAACGAAAAATCAAAATTCCACTTGTCGTGTGGTAAAACTTGTTTTCTTTGAACGACTGTGGTGCGATTCCAAAGGCAAAAATCATAGAAACGTAATTGTTGGAGCAGAGTTCTTCAAACTGTCATTTACTCTCGTAAAAATTACGGAGGCTATCCAAAATCTTCATCACTGCGCTGTAGTACCCGTCATTAAACGCAGTGTCCCTCTTTCATTTAATTACTCCAGAAAATTACTCCAGACAAAAAACTGGACAAATTTCCTTCCCATTTCGTGGATTTAATCTGGCTGAACTTGAGGCATTGAAATCTAACAGCTTAATCGCTGTAGATGCTGTTCCAATTAGCGCTGTCAATATAACTTGGGTACCCAAATTCTCGGGTTCTACTCGGACACTCGAGCTTAAATAATTTAAAGGCACGATATCCAACCTCTGAAGTACCTGGACACCCGGTTAGCACTTGAGATTCCCAGGCACCCGGTAACATTACTCATTTATCAAAAGACATCACACATGTCATTAGCTTTAGCGCTTAATCTTCATTTTTCAAGCAGCCAGATAATCCAATTCATGCTATGAGCAGAGAGATTTCCTGACAAAAATCTATTTTCTTTTCTCCTAATTCGAGTACCCACTTTCTTGCGTTGAGAGTCAATCGAAACACGCGATTGGAATTGTAACTTGTGTCAAGGGACAAGAAAATTTTTTCAGCGCACACGGTGAAAAAAGTTCGATAAAATATTGTTATATCTTCGACCGTCAGGTGAAGGAAAAAACGAACACCAGCGCCTGGACGGACGCCTGCTTACATCGGAATTGTTTTTGCCACGGTGTTATGGGGTCGACTTACGCGTCGTAAATAAAAAAATAGGCTAAGGGCACACGCGTGCAGATAATAGCCCACTGAAGGGGTTAGCCGGTACAACCCGCCTTTTACCGCGGTAAACCCATTTCGCACCAGTTAACTTAACTGGTATCGAACTCGGCGCATACACGGCGCATACACGTACCACTCATTTTCATACTGATCGTCCGCCGTATTGATTTTCAGCCACGCAGGATTGATTATTTCAATTGAGCTAAACAAATTTCCTGTGTAACAAATTGAAGGTCGAACATCAGCAAGAATTTTACATAATGCCTCGCGTGTATCGCGATCGACGTGCGCGCGCGTGTATGGAAACGTTTTTTTTTTTTATGAATTCCTAAAAATTGAAATTGATACCAACACCTATTAATAGTCATGATAGCATGCGGTAACTTCGTTAATGAACAACCGTGGCTAGCAAGCGGCGAACGAGCGAACTAATATCAAGTTTCCCGAAGTTTCACTCATTTTTATGGCACTCGCATTATTAATAGCTGACGGTGCGCTGTGACGCTACGCGACAGCTTGACTCACTGACATTCGATCGGATGAAATGGCAAACTTATCCGCGATTGAATCAACATTCGAGCGCACCGTCATTAAAACACTTAGGGACCGCTTACTTGTTGCTCGATTAACGCAACAAAGTTGCAGCGTGGCAGTCGATTTCGTACGATTAAGTATCCGGTGCTAATTCGCAATCAACCGTCAACACAGCTCGGGGATTGGTTTCACTGGCTAATACGACCGTTTGAGTTTGAGGAACTTTAGCCGCTCGTTATTAATGTGACAATGTCTGCTTTCGTATTCCGCAGCGGATACCATTCGTCTCGAACGTATTCTCGAACGGAGCAAAGGAGCTATAAATAATAATCGAAAATCGTTGCGGGGCACGGCTGAAGAAGCACGGGTGTCGCGTATGTAATAATAATTATTAATGGGCAGAAACCTCTTCGCGTTATACTGCGTGGTCCAGCAATGAGAGAGAGAGAGAGAGAGAGAGAACACGCGTGTGTGAGAGAAAGAGACGTGCTTGTCCAAGTACACTCGGAGCCAAGTGATCGCTAATACAGCGTCGTTATTATCAAGAGGAGACATTGTGACATAATCTCGCATTGATCTGACCAGCGAGCAAAACGTTGCTTCGCGAGGCCGCTCGCGAACTCGCCGCTACGGCGATGAGAACAATTCGCGCGAAGTGTATCGGTTGCGTCACAAAGCTCGCGGAAATTTCATCAACTTCTAGCTTTCGAGAGCGGTGCGGCGCGGTGATGTCAGTTCGCGCGCTCGCGAAGTTAGCACGCGAAATTTATCAGGCACGACTCGACCACGAAAATACTACACGACCGCCGGCTTGTCAGCGCGTACTTTACGATCACCCGGTATAGCGCGGGGATTAGTTTGTCAACGCCGGCCGGCGTTCGCGACGTGCGTGGTGCATCCGCGTGCACGCGTGTGTGTGTGTGTGTGTGTGTCTGTGTGTATGCGTGCGTGAGTGTGTGTCGCGAGCGAAGTTAGCAATTCTCGCGTCTTACGTCTTCGACGGTTAGAAATATAATGTGATGTTCACACTCGGATACATTGTTGGCAAAGGCAGTGATCCGAACGAACGCTGCGTTTTGCGGTCGCATAATGCGCGCACCGGTCGCGCGCACTCGCGCCGCCAGCTACGAGAAAGTGTGGGCTTAAGTTAAGTTTTAAATAGAATGAAGACACCTCTCGAATATAATTAAAACGTTCATGCGGATGGATATCGGAGGGAAGTGTAGGATCTCTCGATGCCGTATCGTACGTACACGAAGATTCTCGCACATCTCTTCCGCTTGTTCTCTCGCGTGTAATATTTATGGAACAATTAAGCCGGCTCTTGTATATTTAGCGCGTATAGCAATCGCAATTATATACGACCCGTGTCGTGTCGTGCCGTCGTAACTGCGGAGGAGAGAAAGATGCAGCTCGCGATTTTTTTGACTACAGCTCGTATCGCCAGAGTCGTCCGCGAATTCTCAGGTCGGTGAATTATTTTCCACGTCGATACAAATAGTTCGGCTTTGTGCGTCTCAAGGCTTCGTTTGTTCGAGTCGACGAGTGCGCGAAACGTAAAAAAAGAATTTTTCAAGAGCACTTTCTCGGGCACTTTTGCGAAAATTCGGTAGCTTCGGCTCGTTTAAACAAAAGTGACGGGGAGGACGATTGACAGAATAATTTTCCGCTCGATCGTGCGATACCAAGACAGGCGGGAGCGACCATTAGATTTGCCTGGATAATTAGAATTACAATCGAAGAGCGGTTATTCTCGATCGGATAAATCGGACTGACAGTTCGTCACCGAGCGTTTAATGAAGTAACGCGAACTTCCAGTTCAGACGTATCCTGAACAGTCTATCGGTTTTACTCCGTTATTCGAGGTGCGCTCTATAAAGTCCTGAAAATAGCCTTTGTATCGCAAAATCATATTGTCATTGGTATAATTAATACGAAAGCAGATTATCTCACACAGCGAGACACTCTCAGCAGCTTCTCTCCGGAAAATTTCAAATTTTAAACAAACGTTTCTTTTTTCTCCCTTCCTCCTCCCCCCCTCCCTCCCTCTCCCCCATCCACTCCAGTGGATTATATTCGTTTCCTATGCGTAATAAAATTACCGACCAGAGAAATAGTCGGGTGACGAATTAAAAAATTTTCCACCGTGAAAAATCCGTCGCGCGACGCACAATGGATAGTGTATATATATATTACCTCCTCGTCGATTCTTTTTGGCATGCGGCGCGATTGCGAAAAATCGAGCCGGCTAAACGGAAATCGGATACCTGACGATCGTTTATATTTACGATAAAGATAAAATTACGCCGAAAGTATTCGACCGTGTGAAGACGCTCGGCGATTAGCCAGAAACACGAATACACCCTCGCGTTTTGCAATGCCGTTGAGACGATTTTACTGCTCGTATATACACGATATGGCCGGTCAGTTCTCGTAATAGTACGACAAGTTAATGCGTCGTCTGATATGCGACGTGCTGCCCGGATTTCGATGTACCGTGGAATAACTCACTCGCGACAAATCATTTCGAGTTGAAATTACATATTTCCCAGACGCGCGTCCGTAGCAGCGCGCGCGGCTCTCTCTCTCTCTCTCTCTCTCTCTCTCTCTCTCTCGCATTTACATCGTCCATCGATGAGAACAAAAACCGAATTTCTCGGCCATTTTCCGCGTCGCCGCTGCATGCGTCGCTTACGCGTCGCGGTTTCTCGATCGCGTTTCGCTTTATGCAAATCACCATTGTCGTCGTCCGTCGCGGATTTTTACACGTGTCGCGCGTGCAGAGGAAAAAGTGAGAACGAGAGAAAAAAGAAAGGGAACAAGACACGTGCGTCGAGGATAAAGGTTTTTCATCGTCGGCTGTCCCTCAAAACTAGGAAATGCTAAATGTTTCGTTTACCGTTAACCGTTAACTATCCGCAAATTAACCCGCGTGAGCATTGATTTGTACAAGCGTAAGCAACGCGTAGAATTTTCTCATTTTTTCTTTCTTTGTTCTCCCTAACGTCTCTCCCTAACGTCGATCGGTAAAATTGCAAGACAATCCTCTCGGCCGGAACGAAAGGTGAAAAATGGTCGAGCCGCAGAATCGACGTGCCGATACTGCACGACGAGGGCGAAGAGAAAGGTCGGCACTAGTCAAAGCGGGATGAGACCTCATTGAGGTCTCGTAAAACGAACGCCCGGGGAATGTCGAATGCGCGTCGATGTTTAATCGGCAAGATTTCTTTACCTTGTCACGGAACGTCTACGACATCGCGCGCACGAACGCGAGGAACGGCCCGGGGCAAAAAGTCTCCGTCTCTGCGGCTGTCGAAAACGGAATCGCGGCAGACGTCGTGCGTCACGGTCGTCTTGGAATTTCGCTGCTCGCAGCAGAGAGACTCACTTTCTTCCAGCGGTCGCACGCTACTCAATATACTGGTCGACGATAAAGTCCCGTCCGCCGCCCCGTCCCCGCCATTGGTCTTCGAGGAGCAACGCGATTCTCTTCGAGGACTCCCCGGCGATTGTAACAATATCTTTTGCGCGGAGGCATACGAAGGATGCGCGACGAGCGCGCGAGAGAGCCGTAAGTTCAAGAGCCGCGCTCAGGGACGTCGTCGTGCGACACGCTCGCAGTAGAGAAACGACATGAGACTTAACCGTCTGTCTGACAGTAAGCGAAATCTTTTTTACGCCGGATAAGAGCGCCGTCGGGGAAAGGGGGAAGGGGGGAGGGGCGGCGGAAGGGGGTATAACGACGGGGGGAGGTACGTACGGGAGGATCCGGAGAATGAACTTGATCCGGGTGAACGCGCGATGATTATTTTTTTCACCAGACGGACACGAATGCCGCTTATCACGTGAGAAATCGCGCCTTTTTCTTTCTTTTCTCCTTCTCGCTTTTTTGCCTCCTCCTCCTTCCTCCGGGGAAGAATACCGGCGACTCCGCGCGACGATCGCGCAAGGTGTCGAAGTTGCTGGTGCAGCTGACGGCGCGCGGGATCGATCGTAATTAAATAGTCTTTTGTGCGCTCCCCCTTCCTCCTTTTTCCATCACGGCGTCGTTACGACGTGGCGCCTACTTTCCCACGAATTTCCCCGCGGAGGGAGGAGAGAGATACGCCCGGCTACGTGATAATTGAAAATAGCGATTTACCGGTAATTTGGCGCGGCTGGAAAATCGCCCGGACTAATGATGATCTCTCTCTCTCTCTCTCTCTCTCTCTCTCTCTCTCTCTCGCCGGCTCGCCGGGTCCCGAGTTTCCCGGTGTGAACGCACTTGACTCGTCAGGTATCCGCACGTTGAAACGCAAATGAAGTTTACGATCTCATACTCATACTCGAGACGTTAAGGTTTACGTGTTTGTCGATCTGAAACTCGCGCGAATTATAATAGTCAGCTAAGTGCTATCAACCGGGTCTCGAGTTCTCCCCGACAGAGAGCCACTCGAATCGCGTTTCTCGCCCTCCCTTCCTCAGCCGTGAAGTAAGTTGGTTGACCGCTCGAGATAAAGGTACGTAATGCGCCCGAGACGATCAGGAATCCGTCCGATGGTCACGTTCACGCTGGTCCCGTTTCGACTTTCAGATAATCCTAGGCGAGGCTTGCACGTGTATGATGTGCATTCGCGGCGGGGAGACGCGACACCTTCGACGACGACGGAAATCCCACGGAAATTAGCACGAAGACACGAGACGGGAACACGAGTCGCGCTCGTCTCGAACGAAGCGCGCCCGCGACGCGATGCGAAAATTTGGCGGTCTCTATAAAACGCCCCTATTATCTTGCTCTTCAAGGTATTGCCGCGCGATGCGCTTTCGGATCGCCTCCTTCGATTTTTACGACACGTAGTGAAAAGAATTTTCAGTTTCCGTGCCTCCCGGCCAAATTCGACGCTTTTCGCCGCGAAATGGCCAAATTGCCGCGCGAATTGTCGAATTCTTCGGCCGAGCACAATATTCCGCTAATTGCGGTCTAAAAAGGAGAGATCCGTTTGTACGCGACGACGGGCCTCTCGACGTGAAATCCAACCGGTGCATCGAAATTCCAGCAGCGCGTTCTACTCGGATCTAACGCCTCTCACGCGCTGCCGATCTTTCGAAACAATGACCGCAATTGAAACGCGTGCGCGCGTATCATGTCCATTGACACAAGAACCTTCTCTACAGAGAGAGAGAGAGAGAGAGAAGGCAGCTCTCTCGGAGTTATAACTGCGCGCGAATGGTCCCTACGTGCCAATCACCCGCGTCTACCGATTCATCACGAAATCTCTCTCTCTCTCTCTCTTTCTCTCTCTCTCTCTCTCTCTCTCTCTCTCTCTCTCTCTCTATCTATCTATCTCGAGGGAAACTGTCACAGCTGAAGATCATCATCACAAAAACACAATCACAATCGGCCGGTGACAATCACCTGCTGCAACACAGACTCTCCTCCGTTCTCGCTGATTATTCTTCGGCGTCGTCTTCCCTCTCTCCTTCCCTCTCTCTCTCTCTCTCTCTCTCTCTTCTTTCTCTTTCTCTCTCTCTCTCTCTCTCTCTCTCTCTTTGCCCGTGCCTCTCCCTCTTGATGTTCACGGTCGTCTCCGGGTCGTCTTCGCGCGCGCGAGAAGAAACGGCGCGCACGAGAGAAGCGGATCGGAAAGTGAAGTCGGAGGATGACAGTCACGGAGCGTCCTCTTGCTCGCTCGCTCGCTCGCGCGCGAGTGCCCTCGAGCGTGCGACACCGGGGCGGCGAGGAGGAGCGCAGGGTCTGCACCGCTGCGAAGCCACTGCGTGCACTCTCCGATGATCCGCGGCGCGTGAAGCGGTCTTATCGGGCCGCTCGATCCACGCACTTGACTCGTGGCTCATGTGCGTGTACGGGGATCCTACTGGGCCTGTGTTCTGGCCGAGACTAACTCGAGCGCTCGGTGCCTGCAGCCCTCGCAGTCATCCCTCCGGCCACGCACTTTTCCACCCCGGCGAAAGAATTGTCCGCCGCGGCCGAGCGCTGCGCCGGCGACGTCCCATCGGCGGGCTGCCGCTCCGCGGCGACGATCGGCCCCGGGCCCGGCGCTTCGCCGCCGGCTGGCGAGCGCGTCTGGCTATCGTCGGCGTGTACCGCGGCCGGTCGCAGGGACGACGATAAGGGCTTGCGGACGCATCCGAGTTGGACAAGACTTTGCCGGCTCGGCTACGGGGAACTGCTTTGGCGCGGGCCGTACGGTGGCGCCGCGTAGCGCGAAACCGCGGAAACCAGCCTGCTGGAACGTGAGGGTGGTTACCCCCACCAGACCAACGGCCACCCCTTCCACCCATGGCCACGAGGACACGGACCGTGCAACGCCGAGGGACGGTTCACTATATCAGGTATCGGAAGTATCGGTGACTTCAACGGGCTGATCGGAAAGAAGGGTTGCGCTACGCTCAGGATATTGCAGGTTAAAGCGCCGAGTGCGCGCTGGCGTTCGATTCGCGGGGATAGGAGAGAGCCCTCGCTAGCCGGCGGCTGTCAGCTCCCAATCGCGAATCGAACTCTATCGATTTGTGTCGAACCGTACGCACCAAAAGAGCGCGGACTCGGTAAAGATTCTTTCTCGGTGCGCTGCTTTGACGAAGGGACGCAATTTTTTTGATTTTATTTTTATTTATTTTATTTTATTTTATTATTTTACAAGGCAATAGCCGGGGGTATCCGGCCAAGTCGCGGCCGTTGTTTGGTAAAGTATCAAAGTGATACCCGGATAGTGCACCCGAGATGGTCGGAGCGGCGCGTCAAAGTAGTGTGCACTTTGGTAGAGAACGCGTATATATACGCGTCGCGACGTTGATTTCAAGAGAACGTGCTGGCGTGCAATGTGTTTTTAAGGCGTAATGCTTGAAGCTGCGGACGGGCAGGTCGGGAAAATAGGAAAAGTTGATAGTTCGCCTCGCAGGTCGCCTTCCCGATCGTATCGAGAGTCAAACCGCGGCGACGGAGTGGGAAAAGGGGTGCGTGAGCATGCGCTCGGAAGGGGTGATCTTAGGCGCAGGATCTAACCCCCTCGATGCTCCCACCGTCGTCGCTTCTGGACAGCTCGACGTTTTTCCACCCTTATCTTTACTCGCTCCTCGTCCTCATCCGAAAGCCTGTACATGCACTTTCGCAACTCGTACCGCGACGCGCCGCGCCGCGGCATCCGCAGCGTCAATCCGAGATTGGCGCGGTCGCGCTATCTCGGCAATATTCACTCGTACAATGCGAGTCGTCGCTTCTGTTTTAACGAGACGGAGCAAAATACGTGCACCGCACATCGATGAGAATCGCATCGATTTTTTTTCTTCTTTTTTTTTTCTTTTTCTTTTCTTTTCTTTTCTTTTCTTTTCTTTTCTTTTCATCGAGACTCATCGATTCGCATCTCTGCCTGCCGCCTCGCCTCGCTCCGCTCAATTATCATTACTGTCCCCGGGAAAGAATTGTCAATACACGGTCAACCACTCAGCTTTCTGCATGCGAGTGTTTTATTTTACAAGCAGTCAGCGCGCCAGCCACGCGCTAATCTCGTCCAGCCGTCGCTGCTACGCGATGATTGTAGTGTATTCATGGACACCAGTGTAACATGTGTACTTAGGATATACGTGGCCCTGGAAATAGCTTTCAGAAAGGTGCACTTGAACGAACGTTAGGAACTGAATAGGGGCTTTCATCCTGAGAGCCGCGTCCGACAATGTGCAGCACACTCTTTAAAAATTCCCCGCCCCCCAGCATTGTCGCGACTTCCTTTCTCGGCTAATTGTTTTCACGATCGGCCTCGTTAATTACCGTTCCCTTTGCGTCGTCGTATTTTGCGTATCGCGTAGAAATGCAGAGTAAACACTCCCGAATTTCTCCCAGCGAACCGCGCGCGGTACTCACGGCTCTCTCGTCTCGTGACGACGATAGGAAGTGCCGCGAAACGAGCAGCTCCGAAATCACGGAGGATAAAGATAAGAATGATTTGTTGTTAGAACGAGAAGGAAAGTTCACCGCGGCCGCTCTCCGCGCGATTTGATTCGCGAGCGTCGGGCAAAAGTTTTTCACGGGAACGCGGAAATTTGGAATATTCTTCGCAAGTGGAGATTGTTTCGCACGTAATCGCTGCTTCACACCTGATACGTCTGACGTAATACGCTGCATAAGCCATTGTTCAACGTCGTCTTCGTGAGACGAAGGTTGAGCGTTTACTTTCGATCATATAATGAGTGGCAATGTAGGCCAGGAACGTCCACGAGATCGGATTTCGCCGTACGTGGCGACACTTAACACTCGGGTCGAATCGTACAAGGAATAGTCGATTACATATGATAGCGCACCATATTTCTCAGAATTTCACACAATCGTCGTCACAATACGTAACACCATACAAGAGAGAGAGAGAGAGAGAGAGAGAGAGAGAGAGACAGCGTCGAATCTGCAATAATATTAATCTACTCAATGTCCAAACATTGGGCTATTGTATGCGTATATGCTTTTCTATTTGCCCCTCGGAAACATTCGATCCCGCGGCCTATCTAAATACACACGCACAATTTTCCTTCTTTTTTTCCCGATATTTTTGCAAGCATTTTTTATGCTCATACAGTGCCTCAAATTCGGGGACGGAAAGATTTTCCGCTCCGACTTGTTGTCCCTGTCGCGTAAGTACAACTTAACGAGACTTAATAAGACAACGGTGCTGCAAAGAGTGCTTACATCGCGCGGTGATATTTGCCATGCGTATGCGTGACAAACAATTGAAACGCATGCAACGGGCACACAGTTGCGTGCAGATTTCCTTCAACAATATGATGAAATTTCGATTAACGCACCGATACTGCTTACCGATATAAAACCTTTTCCTGTATGCGACATGCTGTGTTCAAAATTCGACTTGCTATTTTGTAAACAGCTGTGTTAATCAATCGCAACAGGAAGACGCTGGAATATTTAACATTACGCGCACGAAAAATCTGTGTCAGATCTCGGCTATATTGCCGCGTTAAAAATATCAACCGACCGGTAAGTTTTAGCATATAGTTGTTAGTGTGTGTTCTTATGATAAAATAATCAATTTACCGAAGTAAGCGCGCACACGCTCGCGTACACGCGCGCACACGTACAGACAGATAAATTAATTGCGTTCTAATTTTTATAAAAGATATTTGACAGTCACAATAGCGCATTAATTTAATCAGTGCGCGCACATTTTAAGCACGAGATTTTCTTGCCGCGGGCTAAACGATAAGCAAAACTGAAGCGTCCGTTCTTGCGCAGCAACGTACTTCTCATGTCGCTTCTTCTACTTTATTGTGCAACGCGAACGTTGTAATTTTGCCCAATTAACGCGGCAAGAAGCAAGAAGCAATAAACGCTTTTGGGAATTAATTGATTAACGTTTCTTAAGAATCCGCGTTCCGTTTCTTGAATCTCCGTACGTGTAATTGTTGCGGCGAAAGACTGATTCATTAACTTAAATATATTTGCCAATTGCAACGCTCCGTGTTGTGTACGCGCCTTTTGCAGTGGGCGCAACGCTATCAGCGCGCGATATTAATCGGCCTGAAAATGATTTATTATTGTTTAGGTGATGCAAAGTTACGCTTCGGTTCGAAATTTCTAACAAGCAACGAACTAATGTGTACGCAATAATGTGTGACTGTCCCGTTTCAAGTGGATCGATATCAGCTCTAAACTATACGCGACATCTGCTGCCGTTGCGTAGTTTATATTGCAATCCTGTTTGTTTCCAATTTGCCTGAAGGTATTCCAGCTCAATGCTAAAAATCGATCCGGGCCGTCTCGAAATAACTCCCAGAAGGGTTCATAGAGAGTCGTCTAGCCGGTTCGACTGCCGCCAGCAGTCTGCGCGATGGGAAAAAGCGGTCACTATTAATAAACATAGGCGGAATTGTTATTCGAAGATTTTGTATTAGTAACGCAACGGGTCCGACTCTGGCCCTTTATTGGCTGAGAAAGCGTGCAACTGGCAGGAACAGTACGCTCAATCGCCAACTTATTCGCCGATTGTCATTAAGATTCCTTGGCACGGACGTATAGTGCGAATTCCATCTCCTGCATAATTAATGAGATTGCTTTGCATACGCGAATGTTTGAGCGAGCCCCTGAGATAATCCGTTGAAGGAAGTCGAACCGTGTGCGCGTGTATGCGTGTGTGGGCAAGTGTAGAACATTACTAAAACTCCTCGCGATTTTTCCACGCGCGCGCGCGCGCGCGCGCGCGATTCCGCGCGGCTGCGCGCGATTTCGGACATTAATTATCGCGCAAAATTAATCGGCGACGAGCGCGCGTCACGTCGAGATACGTCTGTCTCACGTCTCATAAATACATCCGTCGCTCTTGACGACATCCATCCGCGAGATCCGCCGCGCGAGAAGTGTAATAAGTCGCAGAAGTCCACGCGATTGCCGAAAAGTTCCGGTCGCGAGGCTAACGGCGACGTCATCGTCAGCGTGTCAGCCGCGCATTGTTTTACAAGTTCGATCGCGCGGCGCGACGGCCCGACGGACGTGCCGCCGCGTCGGCACACGCAAGAAGACGCTTAAACGCAGAGCCAGCACACTTAATATCGCCTGCGAAACGATCGCTATCAAATCACAGCGTCGTCGTTACGCAACTGTCGCGAATAGACGACGAATATTCCGCGCGCTGCGTAAGGACCCCCGTTGCCTGACGTTGCGCCATTGGCGCGGAGCGTGTCATTCCGATCGAGTATTATCAAACTGTCGGGAGTAGTACACGCGTTTCGCGCCGAGCTGCGACGTATTCCCCAAACAACGAGTGCCGGTGGTAAACGATCGCGTTGCGCAACGTGAAATAATTACGGCGCAAACAACACGTTTGGCCCGACCTGATACGCGTTATACAATCGTTATACAATACTACGCGCCGAGAACACAAATAAATGATTCGATCAGAGTGCAGCGTGACACTATGCCTCTCCCCCCTCTCTTTCTCTCTCTTCATGTGTG